AATATTGTTTGAGGGTTTAGTGGTTTTGTATCTTATTAACTGCTTCCTGTCCGCCCTATAGTGGAAATACTGCTACAGGGCTACACGGGGGAGCAAAATTACGTATATATATATATGTGATTTTGCATTTCTGGGTAGGGGGCAAGCGCCATTTGGCTGTGGCTGTCAATCACCGGGTCCCAGGTAATTACTCGCCGGCGCCCGGTGATTGTTGAGCATCTCTGATGGGGCGGGAGAACTGTTTGTAAACAAAACAGTTATCTCCCTTGGCAGCTCCGGCACACTGCTTTATATGGCTCTGCATAGCAGTAAAGCACAAACATAGCCACACAGCATAAAACAGCACACAGTTAACCCTTTGATGGCCCCAGATGTTAACCCCTTCCTTCCCAGTGCCATTAGTACAGTGTCAGTGCTTTTTATTACCACTGATCACTGTATTGGTGTCACTGGGGATGTCAGTTCCCCCCCAGTGCCAGAATGCCCACTGCAGCCCGGCTATAAGTCACTGATCGCCGCCATTACTTGTCAAAATAAAAAAACATAATAAAAAAAAATCCCAGTACATATACAGAACATTTGTAAACGCTATAACTTTCACGTAAACCAATTAATTTACACGTATTGGGATTCCTTTTAGCAAAGACACAGAGCAGAATACATTTTGACCAACATTTGTGATGAAATTTGATTTTTTAAAATTTTTTTACTGGACATGTTTAACCTCCTTGGCGGTATGATTCTTTCCGTTTTTTTGTTCTGAAAGCGGTACCATTTTTTTGCATGGAAATATGTAGTTTTTTATTGTAGGCTGTAATTTTTAGGAACAACTCACTGAAATCTATCCGAAAAAGAGTCTATTAAACATCCCGGGGAGGATAAAACTTGAAACACGAAATCATAAATTATAATTTAATAAATAATCATAAAAAATAATAATATAATAATAATAAATTTAATTCAATAATATAATCAAACCAAAAACACTGAAATGTGAAATACAGAGGCAAATTCGCACATCGCTGAGCAAAGTCGCAAAATTGTTTTTAGTGTCTGATGACGAATTTCCCCCACCAATCATTATCACTCAATTCTGCAAGTGGTTCTGATTTACTATCGCTGTTCTCTAGCCGGTCTAAAACCGCTTTTGACGTAAAGGGACGCTTTTTGGCCGCCATGGACTTTTCTAAGTTTCCAGGCAGAAAGAACAGTCAAAATGCAGGCAGGGCGCCGGACAAAGCACTCGGGACAAAATGTATGTGAAATGCAGTGAAAAAGCAATGACAGCAAAAATGTCATTTTTTAAAAATTTAAAATTTCCCGCCGGTTCCGCCGCCCGTACGTCCCGACGTCGCAGGGACCGGAACTCGGAAGCCGGATGCCGGCATCCGCCGGAGGAGATGGACGGGGACGCTGCAGGGGACACATCGTGGGAGCGCAGGACAAGGTAAGTGCTACAGGGACCCTCAGAAAATGCCGCATGGTAAGCCCGAGTGTAGCTCGGGGTTACCGCTTTTGGTATAGAAATTTTACCCCGAGCTACACTCGGGAACACCGCTAAGGAGGTTAATAGCAAAAAGTGAAAAATATTGTTGTTTTTTCTCCAAATTGTTCTTTTTTTTGTATTGCGAAAAAAATTAAAAACTCACAGGCGATCGAATACCACTGAAAGAAAGCTCTATTTGAGGGGAAAAAAGGACGTAAATTTAATTTGGGTGCGCAATTGTCAGTTAAAGTAACGCAGCTCCGTAACGCAAAAAATGGTCTGGTGGGGGGGGGGGGGGGAATCCTCTGGAGGTCAAGTGGTTAATGTGTCCATTGATTGGTATAAACCAGAGGTAGGAGATAATAAAAACCTGAAACATTGTCAGTCAGACATGGTTGTTATATGAAAGAAAAGCAAATTAATATTTAATTTCTATTTCAGGTTCTCCTGGTTCCTGGGCTCTGCTTCTACCCGCTCTGGTGCTTCTGATATCATCCATGTGACTGGGGCATGTTCATATATTACTCTCGGTGGAAAAACTATTGTGAAAGGAACCACGTTGGTGCAAATTGTATATCAACATCTCACTAATGAAGAGAGGAGACATTTACAGAAGCATTTTTGATGTGTCTTCTCCGCCTTAATTTGCTTGGAGGTTTGGTATTGAAGACAATAAAGAGGCTTTGCCTGGGTTGAATTTCTAAAGACAAATAGACTCTTCACTTTCTGGGGGGAAGTTTAGTTAGTGAGGTGAAGCTTTGCTGATGTCCATCATCCAATGATGTGCAAGCAAAAGGCAGTTTACCCTTGCACATGATTGGGTATTCTTTGTAAAGTGGAATTTCACCACTTTCACCACTTTTGGGAAATCCCTTACAAAATGCCACTTCCCTTCCAAAGCGAACAACCATTTGCCTTTAGTAAATCACCCCCCAGGAGCCGTGACATTGTAGACTGTAAATGTGTTGTCTGGGAATCTTTTCTGGTGAATTAACAAGATTATTACTAATTATAGCTGGAAATCAAGGTGCTCAAACCTATAATAATTATTACTATTATTGTAACTTTCATTTTCCATATGACTTGACTGATTTGTGGTGATTTGTGGTGAATAACTAAAATGTATTTTCCAGAGATCATCTTACATTGTTAAATAGTTGGTAAAGTTGAATAAAGACTGCGGTCCATCCAGTTCAACCTGAGTGTGTGTGTCACTACCATTTTCAGTTTTTTTCAGCTCCCCTTTATGTTTTTTGAGCTTCCCTTTATGTTTTTTGAGCTCTCCTTTATGTTTTTTGAGCTCCCCTTTATGTTTTTTGAGCTCCCCTTTATGTTTTTTGAGCTCTCCTTTATGTTTTTTTGAGCTCCCCTTTATGTTTTTTGAGCTCTCCTTTATGTTTTTTGAGCTCCCCTTTATGTTTTTTGAGCTCCCCTTTATGTTTTTTTTTGAGCTCTCCTTTATGTTTTTTGAGCTCTCCTTTATGTTTTTTGAGCTCCCCTTTATGTTTTTTTTTTGAGCTCTCCTTTATGTTTTCGTATGTACTCTCCAGTGCCTCAGGTTATGCACAGCCAAAAGGGGAGCCAAGGGTACCAGGACAGCAACAACCAAAGGAAATGCTTCAGGGGTGCAGCCCTCCTCAGACGGGGGAAATCAGCCACTAGATAAAGAGAAAACAGGTGGCGCACACCTAGTGCATTATCCAAGGTTTATTGTAGGAGTAAAAGAATAATAAAAACATACTCACAGACGAAGCATGTATCTAAAAAGCATAGAAAAATGACAATGGCCACAACGGCAGGCGAGGTGTTCTCACTGTCAGTGCGGTCAAATGGCTGACGCGTTTCTGGGACGAATCCCTTTCCTCAGAGCTGATGACCAACCTCTGATGCTGATGTATGATGAATGGGGAGCAAGAGCCTTGCTCTTGATGCCTCATCATACAATGGCCATTGTCATTTTTCTATGCTTTTTAGATACATGCTTCGTCTGTGAGTATGTTTTTATTATTCTTTTACTCCTACAATAAACCTTGGATAATGCACTAGGTGTGTGCGCCACCTGTTTTCTCTCTCTCTCTTTTTATGTTTCTCTATGTGTCCATGTACACATCGCCGTTACCAGTAGTTCACAGGCAGTTGAGTTTACAGGCATGTTCTTGAAACCACATAATTGCGTTCAGGAGTAGAGTTTACCGGTGTTTCAAACGGAAAACGCTTGTAAATGCGGTTAAACGCGTTTATGCGCCTTTGAGTTTAGAAGTGTTTTTTGTGCTGGTCCACATCCAGGTGCTGTCCAGAGCCTTTTTTCTTCACCAAAAATGCATGCACAGAGTTTTCCATGTATTCAAATGGATCCGGGAAACACCAGTGCAGTCAGTTCCAGGTTTCGCGTGAAGGAAAATATAGAAGAACATGCTCATGATGGGATCCATAGTGAATATAACCAGAAAAGAAAGGGCATCTTGACACATACTGCTCTCTCTGCTTCTGCTCTCTCTATTTCTTTCAAAATGTCTGAAATAGTAAATTTTTTACTATTTTTCAGTGCATTCTGGGCATTTGGAAGGTCTCCTGAGGTTATCTTTTAAAAACACTTCTAAACGCAAACGTGCATAAAGTGCAATATGTAAACGCAGGTAAACTGACTTTTTTAACATATGTTTTCTAGCAGTCAGTTTCCAGCGGTCAGGAGAGTTTTCCAAATGCCCCGTGTACATGAGCCCTAAATGTTTTTCAATATTATCCACACTCCTGGGTGACACTACCAACTGTGGAAGGGAGTCCACATCCTCACCACTTCAGCAGTAAATATCTCCTTACACAGTTTCAGATTGAAGCACTTCTCATCCAACTTTGTTGTGTGCCGAATGTGATGAATGCTGATAGCAAGGCTTGGATTAATCAGATATAGTGAATGCAGGGGTCCGGGGAGAGCGGATATAGTGAATGCAGGGACCGGGGAGAGCGGATATAGTGAATGCAGGGCCCGGGGAAAGCGGAATAGTGAATACGGGGTCCTGGGAGAGCGGATATAGTGAATGCCGGGTCCGGGGAGACCGGATATAGTGAATGCGGGGTCCGGGGAGAGCATATATAGTGAACGCAGGGCCCGGGGAAAGCGGAATAGTGAATACAGGGTCCTGGGAGAGCGGATATAGTGAATGCGGGGTCCTGGGAGAGCGGATATAGTGAATGCGGGGTCCAGGGAGAGCGGATATATAGTGAATGCAGGGTCCGGGGAAAGCGGAATAGTGAATACAGGGTCCTGGGAGAGCGGATATAGTGAATGCCGGGTCCGGGAGAGACCAGGATATAGTAAATGCGGGGTCCGGGGAGAGCGGATATAGTGAATGCGGGGTCCGGGGAGAGCAGATATAGTGAATGCAGAGTCCCGGGGAGAGCGGATATAGTGAATGAAGGGTCCGGGGAGACCAGATATAGTGAATGCGGGGTCCGGGGAGAGTGGATATAGTGAATGCAGGGTCCGGGGAGACCAGATATAGTGAATGTGGGGTCCAGGGAGAGCGGATATAGTGAATGCGGGGTCTGGGGAGAGCGGATATAGTGAATGCGGGGTCCGGGGAGAGTGGATATAGTGAATGCGGGGTTCGGGGGGAGACCGGATATAGTGAATGCGGGGTCTGGGGAGAGTGGATATAGTGAATGCGGGGTCGGGGGAGAACGGATATAGTAAATGCGGGGTCCGGGGAGAGCGGATATAGTGAATGCGGGGTCCGGGGAGAGTGATGGATATAGTGAATGCGGGGTCGGGGGAGAACGGATATAGTGAATGCAGGGTCTGGGGTTTAGTAAGTTTAAGTTTTGGATTGACTGGGAAAGGCAAGAAATTTTTTTCTACTTTTTATTGCTGTTGGAGCTCCTCTTTGGCTTCACTTTCTGTTAAAGTGACATTCAGGGAAAAGCTGTGAGCTGACACTTTATCTCATTTGTATCAAAGGAAATTTGATTTTTTTTTTTAGACAGATAGAGCATTCTATTGGTGGTATTTTATCAGCACTCAATTTTTATTTATTTATTTTTTATGTATAAACAAAGTTTTTGAAAAAAAAAAATATATATAATTTTAATTTTTTTCCTTCTTGATATAAAACATTTTTATTTTTTGCTATATAAATAAAAAAAATACCAAAAATACCTGGACCCTACAGAGGTTGCACAGGCAGTCAATCTCCTCTAGGTTGGCACATCAATGTGTGTTATTGCCAGCAGGTTTGCTGTGTCTCCCAGCACAGTCTCAGGAGCATGGAGGAGATTCCAGGAGACAAGAGCATGGAGGAGATTCCAGGAGACAGGCAGTCCCTCTAGGAGAGCTGGACAGGACCGTAGAAGGTCCTTAACCCATCAGCAGGACCGGTATCTGCTCCTTTGTGCAAGGAGGAACAGGATGAGCACTGCCAGAGCCCTACAAAATGACCTCCAGCAGGCCACTGGTGGGAATGTTTCTGAACAAACAAACAGAAACAGACTTCATGAGGGTGGTCTGAGGGTCTGACATCCTCTAGTGGTCCCTGTGCTCACTGCCTGGCACCATAGAGCTCGATTGGCATTTGCCATTGAACACCAGAATTGACAGGTCCACGACTGGCACCCTGTGCTTTTCACAGATGAGAGCAGGTTCACCCTGAGCACATGTGACAGACATGAGAGGGTCTGGGGAAGCCATGGAGAATGTTCTGCTTCCTGTAACATCATTCAGCATGATCGTTTTGGTGGTGGGTCAGTGATGGTCTGGGGAGGCATATCCATGGAGGGACGCACAGACCTCTACAGGCTAGACAATGGCACCCTGACTGCCATTAGGTATCAGGATGAAATCCTTGGATCCATTGTCAGACCCTACACTGGTGAAGTGGGTCCTGGGTTCCTCCTGGTGCAGTGGGTCCTGGGTTCCTCCTGGTGCAGTGTGGGTCCTGGGTTCCTCCTGGTGTAGTGGGTCCTGGGTTCCCCCAGGTGCACGACAATGCCCGGCCTCATGTGGTGAGAGTATGCAGGCAGTTCCTGGAGGATGAAGGAATTGATACCATTGAATGTCCCCCATGCTTGCCTGACCTAAATCCAATATAACACCTCTGAGATATCATATTTTGGTCCATCTGACACCACCAGGTTGCACTTCAGACTGTCCACGAAACTCAGTGATGCCTTGGTCCAGATCTGGGAGGAAATTCCCCAGGACGCCATCCGTCACCTCATCAGGAGTATGCCCCAACGTTCTCAGGCATGCATACAAGCACGTGGGGCCATACACGTGCCATTTTTAGTTTCTGCAATGAAATTTCAGCAAAATAGACTCGCCTGCTGCATCATTTTTTTTATTTTCGGGGTGTCTTTGAATTCAGTCCTCTGTAGGTCGATCATTTTCATTTCCATCAAATGATGGGACATCCTTATGTTCCTAACACATTACCCATATATGGTGATCTATATAGAGGAATCAGGACCTACATCCTCCTGCTGGTGACCCCTCTAGTGATATAAAGCTCTATATAGAGGAATCAGGACCTACTTCTCCTGCTGGTGACCCCTCTAGTGATATAAAGATCTATATAGAGGAATCAGGACCTCCTTCCTCCTGCTGGTGACCCCTCTAGTGATATAAAGATCTATATAGAGGAATCAGGACCTACATCTCCTGCTGGTGACCCCTCTGGTGATATAAATATCTATATCAGGGGTCCTCAAACTTTTTAAACAGGGGGCCAGTTCACTGTCCCTCAGACCGTTGGAGGGCCGGACTATAGCTTAAAAAAAAACTATGAACAAATGCGGACACAGTACAGGAGATGACCAGAGACTGCGGACATACAACGGCAGTGGGAATACTGGGCCGGCCGCTCCATTAGACGCACAGACATTTCCCCCCAAGTGTGTCTTATGGAGCAAAATATACGGTAAATGCAGGACACCTTGTTGGGTCAGATCTGTGTACAATGTAAAGAGAGAGAGGGGGGAGAGATAAGGAGGGGAGAGAGAGGGGGGGAGGGGTGGGGAGAGAGAGGAGGGGGGGGAGGGGGGGGAGGGGGGAGAGGGGGGAGAGAAAGAGGGGGGGGGAAGGGGAGAGAGAAAAGAGGAGGGGGGAGGGGGAGAGAGAGAGAGAGAGGGAGAGAGAGGGGGGGGGGGAGAAGAGGGGGAAGAGAGAGGAGGGGGGGGGAGAGGAGGGGGGGAGAGAGAGAGGGGGGGAGAGAGAGAGAGAGTAGGGGGGAGAGAGAGTGGAGGGGGGAGAGAGAGAGAGAGGAAGGGGGGAGAGAGAGGATGGGGGAGGGAGAGAGGAGAGAGGGGGGAAAGAGAGAGGGAGGAGATCAATCATCTATTGCACTTATCTAGGGTCCGTGGCCGTGATAACCGACATGCAGCGATGGAGTCTCCTCTCTTGCTCCCCCTCTTCATGGTCAGCTCTAGGCTCCATCGTCCGGCCGGCCATGATGGTTGCATGCACTGATCAGAATAGATGGCCAGCTGGCTGCAGAGAGGCCAGGTGAGTGGTGCGGGTTCATAAGCCAAGCCCACCATCCCCTGTTCTAGAATTGCTGATCCCGCCCTCCTGCCTCCCGCCCGAGCCCTGCCGAGCTCTCACGACCTGCCAAACCCTAGTCCCTTGCCTCGCGGCAGATACTCCCCTGCCCGGCGGGCCGGATAAAATGTCCTCGGAGGGCCGCATGTGGCCCGCGGGCCGTAGTTTGAGGACCCCTGATCTATATAGAGGAATCAAGACCTCCTTCCTCCTGCTGGTGACCCCTCTACTGATATATAGATCTATGTAGAGGAATCAGGACCTTCTTCCATCTGCCGATGACCCCTCTAGTGATAGGATCTATATAGAGGAATCAGGACCTCCTTCCTCCTGCTGGTGATCCCTCTACTGATATATAGATCTATATAGAGGAATCAGGACCTCCTTCCTCCTGCTGGTGATCCCTCTAGTGTTATAAAGCTCTATATAGAGGAATCAGGACCTCCTTCCTCCGGCCGGTGACCCCTCTAGTGATATAAAGATCTATATAGAGGAATCAGGACCTCCTTCCTCCTGCCGGTGACCCTTCTAGGGATATAAAGATCTATATAGAGGAATCAGGACCTCCTTCCTCCCGCCGGTGACCCCTCTAGTGATAGGATCTATATAGAGGAATCAGGACCTCCTTCCTCCCGCCGGTGACCCCTCTAGTGATAGGATCTATATAGAGGAATCAGGACCTCCTTCCGGCAGCTGGTGACCCATCTAGTGATGTAAAGATCTGTATAGAGGAATCAGGGCCTCCTTCCTCCTGCCGGTGACCCTTCTAGTGATATAAAGATCTATATAGAGGAATCAGGACCTCCTTCCTCCCGCCGGTGACTCCTCTAGTGATATAAAGATCTATATAGAGGAATCAGGGCCTCCTTCCTCCTGCCGGTGACCCCTCTAGTGATATAAAGATCTATATAGAGGAATCAGGACCTCCTTCCTCCTGCCGGTGATCCATCTCGTGATATAAGGATCTATACAGAGCAGGGGTCTCCAAACTTTCTATGCAGGCTTTAGGGGGGCCAGACTGTGGCTGGTAGAAGTAGAAAATGCCCTTCCGTCTATGGGAGTAAGCAACACCCCATAATTAATTTTATTGGAAGGCATCATGCACCATTATTAGTATCAGTGCCAGGAATAGTGCCCCATTGTTGGTGACTTTGGTAGGAATGGTGCTCCAACTTTGGTTTCAGGGGGAAGAATAGTGCTCCAAGGGCAGATAAAGGCAAGCAAAGGGCCACATTAAGCCCCCTTTGGAGACTACTGATATAGAGGAATCAGGACCTCTTTTCTCCTGCTGGCGATTCTAGGATTTTAATTAAACCATTTATACATTGCAATCACCATTTTTTTTTTTCAATTTGGACAACGATTTAATAAACATTTTTTTTCATTATTTTAGAGAGATTAGAACCCCTGTCAGATTTTATTTCAGTGTATGTCCCCATTGGGAAGGTTTGCCATCTCTATTTGACTGTTGTCACTGAGAGTAAGGAAAGGAAAATCCCAAATTGTGGGTTTTCACCAGAACAGGAATAGAGGGGAAATCTTCTAGTGAGGACATTGGAGTTTTGATGACACGCTGGGATTCCCTAAGTTTTGGCTATGAGAAAGAAAGTAAAGTGAAATCTCCTCAATGGGACACAAACAAAAACTGGGTTATATCCACTCTATCCAGTTAAAAAAAAGTGAGTTCTATTTAATGAATTGCAATATTATTTTTAATAATTTATCTGCTAGATTTCTCAGTTATAGCCCATCAGGTATGTAGTATTAATGTTTAAAATGACATCCCTGAACTCCATCCACAATTCTACATTCCTCATCCAGAGCGCAGTCCACCGCTGAACAGCTATCATTAGATTCTGAAAGTGGAAACAAATATATGAGAGTTTGTTACATTTATGCATTAAACACTAAACTTAAAAAAAATATATATTGTATTTAAAGTGTTACTAAACCCCAGGCCCTACATTCACAATATCCGCTCTCCCCGGACCCTGCATTCACAATATCCAGTCTCCCCGAACCCTGCATTCACTATATCCACTCTCCCCAGACCCTGCATTCACTATATCCGCTCTCCCCGGACCCTGCATTCACTATATCCGCTCTCCCCGGACCCTGAATTCACTATATCCGCTCTCCCCGGACCCCGCATTCACTATATCCGCTCTCCCAGACCCCGCATTCACTATATCCGCTCTCCCTGGACCCTGCATTCACTATATCCGCTCTCCCTGGACCCTGAATTCACTATATCCGCTCTCCCCGACCCCGCATTCACTATATCCGCTCTCCCAGACCCCGCATTCACTATATCCGCTCTCCCTGGACCCTGCATTCACTATATCCGCTCTCCCCGGACCCCGCATTCACCAAATCCGCTCTCCCCGGACCCCGCATTCACCAAATCCGCTCTCCCCGGACCCTACATTCACTATATCCACTCTCCCCGGACCCCACATTCACTATATCCGCTGTCCCCGGACCCCACATTCACTATATCCGCTCTCCCCGGACCCCGCATTCACTATATCCGCTCTCCCCGGACCCCGCATTCACTATATCCGCTCTCCCCGGGACCCCGCATTCACTATATCCGCTCTCCCCGGACCCCGCATTCACTATATCCGCTCTCCCCGGACCCCCGCATTCACTATATCCGCTCTCCCCGGACCCCGCATTCACTATATCCGCTCTCCCCGGACCCCGCATTCACTATATCCGCTCTCCCCGGACCCTGCATTCACCATATCCGCTCTCCCCGGACCCTGCATTCACCATATCCGCTCTCCCCGGACCCTGCATTCACTATATCCGCTCTCCCCGGACCCTGCATTCACCATATCCGCTCTCCCCGGACCCTGCATTCACCATATCTGCTCTCCCCGGACCCTGCATTCACTATATCCGTTCTCCCCGGACCCTGCATTCACCATATCTGCTCTCCCCGGACCCTGCATTCACTATATCCGCTCTCCCCGGACCCCACATTCACTATATCCACTCTCCCTGGACCCCGCATTCACTATATCCGCTCTCCCTGGACCCCGCATTCACTATATCCACTCTCACAGGACCCCATATTTACTATATCCACTCTCCCTGGACCCGCATTCACTGTATCTGGTCTCCCCGGACCCCGCATTCACTATATCTGGTCTCCCCGGACCCTGCATTCTCTGTCTGGACTGTGCTGATTGGCCCTGTGCTGATCACATGTACTCTCCCAAGAAAAAAGAAAAACCTTTCTAGCAATACACACTAAACTGAGCATGTGCATGTGACTACGGATTCAGTCTATCAGGTGGTCATTTCAACAAGAGGAGGGGCAGAGAAGACAGGATCAAACAGCCTTTTTACACAATGCAGAGGATTAACCCCTTAGGTTCCACAGTGAGTATAACAAGCACGCTTTACTGCATCTACAGACTGATTGTACCGTTGTGGGTTTAGGAACACTTTAAGGATGTATTCTTAACTCACAAAAGTCCCTTCTATTGCTCTCAGCTTCCTCCAAATCTCCCAATTCCTACTTTTGTTGCTGTTTATCTGACTTCCTATTAGAGGGTGGCTATGTTCTCCCTCCCAAGAAGGACTATGTGCTATGGGATGTGCGGTGTACATAGAACAGTGCACAAACCGCAACTAACATGCACTGTTCCTTCCAAAATAAATGGAACTGAGAGGGAAAAGGAGAGGTTCAGAAGCTCATGGAGGACATTACGAGAGGCAGAAAAACACAGTAAGAAGTTCATGAAAGTCGAGCACAAGGCCATTAAGCAGTGGATGTTTATGGATTCTTTTTGGATAAAACTATATCTTTTTTGGTCTATAATTTCAGAGATATTATTTTGGGGTCTTTGTAATAAAACATGACACACATTCACACAACCAAGGCACAAATGCAGTACCATCTCTATTACATGCGACTCTTATATCATTGCTGCGACCTAGTGGCCATCACTTTTTTTTTAATCGCTTTCCACCCGGCCACTGTATATATGCCGGGTGGGACAAGTGTAGTTCTGGGAGGATGTACCCAAATGTCCTCCCCAGAGCTGTGCCTCATACACACCCCTGGGGGCATGCAGTGGCACAATCCTGTGACTGCTGTGTCCACCGGACACCACAGATCACTGATTAGAGTACCGAGTGGCTGTGCTGCACCCTGCTACCATGTGATCGCTGTGACCAATCACAGCGATTGCATGTGCAGTAGAAAACATAGCTGCCATCATATAAGCAATCATTTATGACAGTTCTTGACTCCATTCATACAGCCATTGAGATCTACTGTGATCTCTGTGATTGGTCGCAGTGATCACATGGTACAGGGTCAAGCAATTCCTCCCCTATACCAAGTAATAGCTTTAGGCAACCACAACTATTACAGTAGGTCTCAATGGCTGCATGAATGCAGTCAAGAACTGTCAGACATGGTTGTTTATACAGCCATCATGGCTGTATAAAAGTTTCACTTGGGTACAGTGTTGCATGACGGAGTAATTGTCATTCAAAATGGAATATTGGCCTGGTCAGGAAGAAAGTAAAAATGTCCAGTATTGATGTGGCTAATTTATTGATTGATTGATTGATTTGATTAGGTAGAAATGCCTCAAGCAGGAATAAAATATAAAATGCATTGTGGTCACTAGATGGCACTAACCGCATTCAGGTGAAACTCGAAAAATGAGAATCTGATGCAAAAGTTCATTTGTTTCAGTGCAGCAACTTAAAAGGTGAAACTAATATATGAGACTCATTACATGCAAAGCAAGATAGTTCAAGCCGTGATTTGTCATCATTGTGATGATTATGGCTTACAGCTCATGAAAACCCCAAATCCACAATCTCAGAATATGAGAATATTCCATGCAATCAATAAAAACACGGATTGTACATAGAACAATATCGGACCTCTGAAAAGTAGAAGCTGCATATGTACTCAGTACTTGGTTTGGGCCCCTTTGCAGCAATTACTGTCTCAATGTGGCGTGGCATGGAAGCTATCAGCCTGTGGCACTGCTGAGGTGTTATGGAAGACCAGGATGCTTCAATAGCGGCCTTCAGCTCTTCTGCATTGTTCGGTCTCATGTCTCTCATCTTTCTCTTGGCAATGCCCCATAGATTCTCTATGGGATTCAGGTCAGGCGAGTTTGCTGGCCAATCAAGCACAGTAATCCCACGGTCATTTGAACCAGGTTTTGGTGCTTTTGGCAGTGTGGGCGTGCCAAGTCCTGCTGGAAAATGAAGTCAGCATCCCCATAAAGCTTGTCTGCGGAAGGAAGCATGAAGTGCTCCAAAATCTCCTGGTAGACGGCTGCGGTGACCCTGGACTTAATGAAGCACAGTGGACCAACACCAGCAGATGACATGGCTCCCCAAATCAACACAGACTGTGGAAACTTCACACTGGACTTCAAGCATCTTGTAGTGTGTGCCTCTCCATTCTTCCTCCATACTCAGGGGTCCCTTGTGCCTCTCCATTCTTCCCCTCCATACTCGGGGTCCTTGGTCCTCTCCATTCTTCCTCCATACTCGGGGTCCTTGTGCCTCTCCATTCTTCCTCCATACTCCGGGTCCTTGTGCCTCTACATTCTTCCTCCATACTCGGGGTCCTTGGGCCTCTCCATCCTTCCTCCATACTCGGGGTCCTTGGGCCTCTCCATTCTTCCTCCATACTCTGGGTCCTTGTGCCTCTCAATTCTTCCTCCATACTCGGGGTCCTTGGGCCTCTCCATTCTTCCTCCATACTCTGGGTCCTTGTGCCTCTCCATTCTTCCTCCATACTCGGGGTCCTTGGGCCTCTCTATTCTTCCTCCATACTCGGGGTCCTTGGGCCCTCTCCATTCTTCCTCCATACTCGGGGTCCTTGGTTTCCAAATGAGATGCAAAAGTTGCTCTTATCAGAAAAAAAGAGGACTTTGGACCACTGAGCTACAGACCAGGTCTGTTTTTCTTTAGCCCAGGTAAGACGTTTCTGACGTTGTTTGTTGTTCAGGAGCTGCTTGCAAGAGGAATACGACATTAGAAGCCCATGTCCAGGATCCGTCTGTGTGTGGCGGCTCTTGATGCACTGACTCCAGCCTCAGTCCACTCCTTGTAAAAGTCCCCAACACTTTTGAATGGCCTTTTCCTAACAATCCTCTCCAGGCTGTGGTCATCCCTGCTGCTTGTGCACCTTTTTCTCCACACTTTTCTCTTCCACATAACTTTCTATTAATGTGCTTTGATACAGCACTTTGGGAACATCCAACTTCTTTTGCAATCACCTTTTGAGGCTTTCCCTCCTTACGGAGGGTGTCAATGATGGTGTCAGGTCAGCAGTCTTTCCCATGATTGTGATTCCTACTGAACCAGACTGAGAGACCATTGAAAGGCTCAGGAACCCTTTGCAGGTGTTATGGCTTAATGATCTGATTAGAGTGGGACACTTTGAGGCGAGAATATTGCACCTTTTCACAATATTCTCATTTTCTGAGATTGTTGATTTGTGGTTTTCATGAGCTGTAAGCCATAATCATCACAATGATGACAAATCACGGCTTGAACTATCTTGCTTTGCATGTAATGAGTCTCATATATTAGTTTCACCTTTTAAGTTGCTGCACTGAAATAAAGGAACTTTTGCACGATATTCAAATTTTTCGAGTTTCACCTGTATCAGGAAGCACGGCAATATTCATCTTGATTGTGCGAATGTTTGTCACATGCAACACATGCTTTATACACAGACCTCTTAGTGTCCCTTTAAGACAAAATATATTGAACTGACCTGGCTTTGTGTGAACACTTACCTACACAGTAGGCCAAGGGGCAGGTTAGTGGCCGCTGTAGTTTGTAGACATAATAACCTTCAGTACAATTTTTCACTGAAATTGTATTGGACCATAAACAGCAATTTTCATTCCAGTTGGCACAGGCTGTACGATTAACAATGCCGTCTTCCACCGTTGGGTGTTGGCCTTTCAGCCACATAGGAGCGTGCGTGCCACAGCTGTATTTCGGTACACAGTACTCGGGCATTTGATGACCATAGTCTCCTTTAAGTCGATACCAGCCATTGAGGGCAAAGTCACAATGAACCCAATCATAGGAATACAAGAAGTCACTATGATTATGTATATTAGAAGTGCTGCGCCAGGGGTCACTAAGTACAGTGTGGTTGGAGCAAGGGTCAATACAGGAGTAGGATCCAATGTACTTAATGCATTCCTTATTAGAGGTACATGGAGATCCTTGTTGGCATTCATTGACCTCACAGTGTCTTCCATCTCCGTAATATCCATAGGGACAAGTACAGGTGTACAACCGATAAGAAGTGGTACACACAGCTAGTGGATGACAGTCATTCAGAGAGCTGTCTGAACACTTATCCATGTTAACACAGCCAATTCCCTTTTCATACTCAAATCCAGTTTTACATTTACAGGTGTAAGATCCATAATAATTGGCACACACCGCTGGTGGAAGACAGTCATTCAGAGAGCGGTCCGCACACTCATCAATGTCAGCACAGCCAGTTCCTTCTTTATACATAAATCCAGAGTCACATTTACAGGTGTAAGACCCCTTGGTGTTCATACAGGTACCACCATAATGTTTACAGTTGTTGGCATAGCGATCCTGGCATTCATCCATGTCCTCACAAGACGACCCGTCTCCTGCAAATCCCTCTTTACATGTGCACTGCTGGTCCCCACCAAACTCTCCACACGTTGCATTCGGGTGACAGTCAGAGTCAGAGCAGTTCCCTAACACAGAAGAAAAACCTTTTTGCTATTTGTAAAATGGAGGTGAATAATTCATATAAAATATAAAATATGTTGATTTCATGCAAATATGAGGGTTGAACCAAAAGTAACGCAAAGGTGGGCATAGGGTAAGAGCCGGTTCACATATATGCGGATATGTGTTTGAACCGCATCCAATCCGCATGGCATGTGAAATAACATTGCTTCCTTTGCTGCCTGTTTACATAGGTCACTGGTGGTTCAGATTCAGTGGGGATTGAAAAAGAGTCCTGCCCGATTTCAGTCCGGTCCAGGTGCGGATTACAGGC